ACTAGCTCACTTCACAATCATTTCAATGTCAACTAGTTAACTTCAAAATTTTAATCTGAACTAGGAAGAATTAAAATTTCAATCTGTCCTAGTTCGATTTAAAACTGAACTAGATTTTAATTTGTCCTACGACATATATATATACTTAGAGTTGACCAATAGTTCTGGCAATGTTATTTAAGAATATAAAAATAAAGAGAATTTGTAATGTTATTTTATTAAATGTTCAAAATTGTTTTCAAATCTTTCTTCTAGAAAATTTTCAATTATCTTGAAAATTATAGAAACCAACGATTTTTCTTTTATTTAATGAATTAAATTACGCTTGACGTAATCATTTAGGCAAAAATCACATCATACAAAGTCTGATGAGGACGGTAGATGAAGCATTATATTTATACCTTCTTGTGCTAAATAATTAATAACATCTGAATGCGCATAAGGTCGAGCATTATAATGAAGTAATTTGATAAATTTCCCAGCTAATGACTTTCGTTGTTTCCATAGTTCATTAGCAATAGGTTTGAGGCAATTATTTTGTTTTAATCTACACTAGTCACAAGAAGTCTCACAACTGAGTATAAAGTACATAAACTTCAATATTTTTACCTGATATTTTGACTACAAATAGAGCTTGGTAAATCCTGATCACAAGCAGCAATCCGATATCGATAAGCCCTGATGCAAAGGATCTACGATAAAAACACTTGTTTTTTGCTATATAAATTTGTTAATCTCCATTTTCTTATTGGCAAATAAAGGTTCAGATGGTTATATTGTGTCACAGACAGAGTGCTAGAATCTACTATAATCTTGAGACTCGGAAATTCCTTCATTGTTTGAAACGGTTTCAGCATGAATCTCTTCTCCATCGATGCCGGCAATCGTGAAATTTTCAAGAAAGACTTGATTAGAGCAGCACACTCGTTGGAAAAATTTCAAGACAAATGGGTTAAATGAATATTTGATTTAAAGAATACAGAAAATAAAGTTTTTCGTTCAAATCTACTTCGACGAAAAATAGTCATTGGTGATTCACTTTTACTAATCCAGCTTGTGTTAGTTGACATACACGTCAACCTGTCTATGGTAAATCCATATCTCGTCACTCGTAATAATATTATATAATCACTATGGTTCATAACGAAATTGCTCTAATTATTCAGGACAAATTCTAACTAATTCTTGCTTTTCTTCATCATTAGGTAGATGAGTAGATATGTTAACTAGGAAATCGGATGACCAGATCGAGAATTATTAGTGACATTTTTTCTTCCTGCATCTTAATGTTTTACCCATGTTGCAACTGTTCCATATGACGGCGCGTTAGGTTCTAATGCTGTTGCAAGTTTCCGTGAATTGTCTTTTGCATCTATTATCAAAATAGTTAGAATGTGATTTTATCTGAAAGAATATTAGAGCTAAATCCAAAACGAAATTACAGCCTTCGCAGCAAAGATCGTTGCAGTCAATGCTTAGGTCTGATTTCTTGATTTTTTTTTCGTTTAATGTAACCATACGTTGCGAAGATTGTAGTTACTATAGATATATTATTATAAACAAGACATTATACATTTTCTTCATGCAATAGACTCTTTATTGTTAACTGATTTATGAAATTGCCAGCAACGTTGTTAAACCTAAATATATATATATTAAATCTATTAATTATTTTTCTTTTTTATGAAAAGATATGGGCGAATATACAAGAACAAGATATACCATCACGAATGAATTTTGACGTAGGGAAAGCAGCTGATTGGCGACCATTCTTTAGTCATTCATTTCCACGTGATACTTTGCCTTGGACTTCTGTTCAGGTTTTTTCGAAATTCTTTCAAGTTCTTTTTTTTATGAAGAAGTAATATTTTATTTTTAGCCAAATGATTTACATTATGAAGATACACGTTCTGACGATGCTGAAATACTTAGCAAGGAAATTTCTCATATTTTACGAAACAAAATGATTGATTGGCGTGAAGCAAATGCCACATCTTGGCATCATGTTTGTCAAAAACATCTTGAAGAAATCATTAAGCGGTAATTTCTTTTTTTGTCATTTCACATCAAAGTTTAATTTTTAATCTTTTTATTTTAGTAAAGAAATGGAGTTTATAAGAGGATCTACTATCAATGGAGCAGATATTGAACCTGAATTAGCAGATTTTCAAAAAACACATAATGTAAATAAATTTCAAATATAAGAGATATTTTGTTTTGTTTCTTTTCTGAATAATTATTTATTTTGATTGTAGATTACTGGATTTGCACTTCAAATGCCGTATACAACTGTGCAAGCAATAGTTGATACAGTTTATTCAACAAACATTTTCAAACATGCAACAAATGAGATTAAATTTGCATTAGCTGTTCATGTTCATCCATATCCAAATAATATACTTGCTGTTTGGATTTATATAGCACATTTAACACCAAAATGATTGTTTAAAGTTTGTTTTTCTTTGATTGAGTAGAACGCTTTTGTGTATTTATCGAATTTGTTTTTCTTTTATTTACATTTTACAAAATAAAACTAGAACAACATATTATATAAAATATTAAAAAATTGTCATTGAAAAAATTATTAAGAGTACTACCTCTCTCTTTCATTTTTCCAGCGTTTCTGACGAATGACTCATAAAGAAAATTTTGGAAGTCTCATTGCAGATAGATCTTAATGAGTAAAGCAGAAGTTTTCATAGACTGAAAAAGGTGTTTATGTGGTCGGATTAATGTCCAGCACGGGTACGACTTTTCGAAACCGAACCTAGATGTTAGAGCAAAGCTTTCAAACTTTTATTTTATACGAAAAACTAGACTATTTAGTTTCTTCGTAAACAGCAACAAAAAAAAGAGATCATTTCAAATTCTACAAAGACAAACAAGTGAATCAAATAATTCAGACTCCACACGACGCCTTCTCTCATTATAAATCCGATCGATTTCGGTAAGTATATTCTTACTTGTTGCTGATAAGAGTGGAATGAAACGAAGTGTTGACACCAAAAATTATAGCTGTGGATACATGTTCATCTTTTTAACAATTCATTTTCCTCTCTATCTATTTAATTACTTCGTCATATTGTTCATCGTCATCTGTAGATTGATTTTTACTAAAAACCAACCAGTTTTTATACCTATACTTTTACATACATACTAATTTATAGAAGCAACAACATTTTGAAACGTTGAGATCTCATTAATTGCTGGCCCAGATCTGGGATGGAATCATACCATGGACCTGACTTGACCCAGCAAGTTTGCATCCAGATACATGCTCCAACTTGAGCAGAGTGCTGGGTACCTGACCGTGGGGCAGAACACTAGTTTGTATTTGGGTATGATTCTTAGTTAGTGCGAATTTGGTTGTGGTTAGATTTTAGGATCTCTGCACCTACCGATACTCGCATTCTCGAACAATATCGACAAACACAAAAGACAAGAAAAAGACAAGTTAACCAAGCTCCATAAAATGAAGCTGAATTTAATTAAGCACTGTTGCAAGTTGATATCAGCGATGATATGGCTTGTGAAGATTAGGTAAAAGCTAGTCTGTGAAAAAATATGAGCACTACTTTTTTTCTATTTATCAACACACTTTATTTACAGAAAATTGTTTTTAAAATAAATTTGGTTGTTAAAATATTTATTAAACAAAAGAAAAAAATTCTGATCTATCATTTTCTGATTATAGTTCACGATGACAAGCATTGTTCTATCTCTTGTATTTTATCCATCATCATCATAAACAATTAATTCGATTTATTATTGTAACGATCAATACGGCTCTGGCAGGATTGATACGTAATGACAAACTGGATAGAGGTGGAGTAGCTTACCGCCACTCTCGGCAATGATGTTTATTCGCTTCTTCACATATCCAGAGTGTAACAATTTCATACATAACACACGTATATATAGGAGAGAGATAGAAGAGAGACAGGAGAGAGATATATTAGAACAATGGAAAGAGAACAGAAGGAGGAGGAAGGAGAATCATCGAAGCGTGCCATCAATATCGGCACAATTATCATCTGAAATAATGAAATAAAATTCATTCAAAAGTAACAATAGCAAAAACTCTCTTTCATTCTATACCTCTTACAAAGCAATAACACAATAAGTAAACATCGAAGTATTTGTTCATAATAAGAAGCTAAATAGACAAGATTAAACGTTGAAAATACCCAAAACTTTCTCGAGTTCGTCTTTCTTCTTTGATAAATCCTTGGAGAATGAAATCGATTTTTCAGTCGATTGGTAAACATTAGCAAACAAGCAAATAATTAATACACTATTCATAACTTGAACACATTTATATTAATTATGGCATATCAAGAATTTCTTTTTTTTTTCTTGAACACAAGCAGTGGCGTAGCCAACAGGGTGGCAATTCGGCAATTGCCACCTAAACGAAATTTTATTGCCACCTACTTTTATTTAAAAGTGGGCAATTGCCTATTGTCAAAAAATGTTATTACTTGTGTATACTTAAAGATTTAAGCAATGTTTTCTTTCAATACATTTTTCTTTGATGAGATTTAGTCAAGCGATTACAAAAGTCAATCTACGATCTTTTCCATTTAAAGAATGATCACAGTAATAATGATTCAATGGTATTTTCTGTCAAAATACTTTCTAATACACTTAAATTAGCTTAAGAGAAACGTGGATGAATGCTCAAAGATCTCTCTACAAACATAAATGGTATTTTTCAGAAACGATTCTAGCAATATAAATCGGAAGCTTTTACAACGTATCTTGCAACATGATTCCCGCAATGTTACGATTCAAAATGTGAATAAATAACATACAAAATCTAAATAAAAATCGATTGATTGTGTAAACCACAATGTTTTGAAAACTCATTTCAGCCATTGAAAGTATTGGCAGTCATGTGGTAATATTTTATTTACAGGATGTGCATATGACTAAACATGAGAACCATACGGAAAAAACTTTCGTGATTGAGAGTTAATTAGAGATATATTTGGAGTAATGCTTGTCATTGCCCGACGTAAATAAACAAACTAACTCGTATAATTTTTCGATTCAAGAAATGAAATCAACTTTCTTCATTGTCTGACGAAATGAAAATAAAAGAAACATTGATTAATGTTTGACGGGAAAAGATAGACAGATAGTCACTGTTCTATCCTCCATATTGAGAAAAAAGATTAATTGTCGTGACACTCGTCAAAATAAAGAAAGGTAATCATCATCAGCGGTCAAATGAGAGAAATAAATAGCATTTTGTGTCATTGAGTAATATAGAATAACAAAAGGCAATTCATTTGTTGACTAAGACACATAAATATACATTACGCAAGCATTTTTAAACTGAACATCTTGTATGTCACAATGTCTGGCGATAAAAGAAAACGTGCATCACTTGATTCATTTGTTACTGTTACGAAAAAGACAATCGTCACACCATCTTCATCTGAGCAAACTGAAATCGATCAGTCTGAACTTAACACACTTGAAGTTGCTGAAATTATTGATGATGAGTTCGAAGATCAAACAATATCAATAATTCGGACGTGAGCCAAAACTTAAATGCTATTGATTCTCATCCAAGTGCTCATGAAAACGATATCGGCTTTCAACTATCATTACGTACTACTCTTACTAACGAAACTAAACATCGACTTCTTACAAAACCATTTCGACCTGACAATAAGTACAAATTTCCAAATCAACAAGAAAAAGGTGAACCAGTTCGTCGATTCATGGCTTCGTGGTTAGATCAGCACTCATTTCTCGTCTACTCACCATACTACGAAGGAGCATATTGCTCTGCTTGCGCTCTGTTTTCACCTAAGGCTTCAAGTCAATCCGACGTACTATTCGTTAATTATCCAAGTTCTCAATTTCGTCATTTAAAATATTTCTCGAAATATATTAAAAACCATCTTAGTTCGAAAAATCACAAGTTGGCTATGGTACGTGCCACCGAATTCATTCGGACGTTCGAAAATCCATCTTCTAGTATTGATTATCAACTGGATCGAAATAGAATCGAAGTAATTGAAAAAAATAAATCTATACTTCTATCAATTATCAAAGTGGTGATCACATGTGCACGGGAAAACATTGCTCTACGTGGCCATCGAGGTAAATTTTCTCTTTTATTAAAAATTACAACAGAAAATAGTTTCCTTGGTTTTTGTTTTAGGTGAAGATATTACTTCAATTAGAGATCATCTTACAACTGTTGAAACACCATCTGGATCCAACTTCATTTCACTTCTAAAACAGCGTATTGAAGCTGGCGATCAGCTCCTTCAATCTCATCTTGAAAATGCAAATCGTAATTCAACATATTCAAGTTCATCTATTCAAAACGAGATTATTGAACTTATCCATGAACACATTTTGTCAGCTATTCTCGGTCGTTTGGGTCCTACTACACTCTATTCAATCATAGTCGATGGTACTACCGATTCAGCTAACATCGAACAATTGTGCTTTCTCATCCGGTACGTCGATGCCGATTCGTTTGAAATTCATGAAGATTTTCTTGCTTTTATACCTACTACTTCATCAACCGGTGAAGTCATCGCCGACCACATTTTATTATGCTAAAGACAATATAATCTTTCATTTACTAACTGTATTGGACAAGCATACGATGGTGCGTCCTGCATGTCTGGTACTTTTAACGGTTTTCAAGCTATCATAAAACGATTCTGTGCTGACGCCGAATATATGCACTGTAGTTCTCATACATTAAATCTCGCTCTTATCGATTCAAGCTCTTCTCACTTCATACGAAACACGTTCGGCATTATCAAGTCTATTATCACGTTTTTCAATGATTCACCTAAACGTACGAACGCACTTAAACACGAAATTCAACGACCAGACAATGATTATTTGTTACTCAACAAGAAAAAACGCCTGATAAATTTATTAAGTGCCAATTCTTTTTTGTTCCTAGAAACATTCTGTTTCCTCAAAATTAACCTGTTTCTGTACAGACAGGTGATATTTTCCTGAGATAAAAGCTGATATCTTCTGTTGCTTAGTTTTCCCATTTAAAATTGTTCCTCTTAATATATTTTAAACTTGACAGTTAGGTAAGCCATGTTTTATCAATGAGATAAATTTTTGCATAAATCTGAAGTCCTTATTTTTCATTTAGCCTAAGAAAATTTATATCGAAAGGAGTTAGTTTGGACAGAACTTATAGATTGTTCGTTTCTTATAGCAAAATGGTTTAACAACTATTTACTCAGTCGTTAACTATTTCTTTCTCATTGATATTACCATTTCTAGATAAACTGTGTTTTTTAAGAAACAAATTCGAGTACTCTTCGTATCTATTTAAAGCACATGATCTAACTTATTAAATTTCCAGCAGCTCGCAACTTGAAATCCGTTTTCAATATTTCGTTTACTTTGGCTGGGAAGAGTTCTTATAAAAAATATTCTGAGAACGTGAATATTTTCAAAACAAAAATATTCCATTTTAGTGTGAAACTCGATGGGTGGAACGAAACGTTGCTATTGAAACATTTCTTGAATTATATATTCCAATTTCGAATACTCTTGATGTTCTTCGTATTGATGGAGATTCAACTTCAGAACAACTATCATCCAAATAATAGTTTCGAAACTATCATTTGCGCATGCATTGCATGTTTTCTACTTGGTGAAATTACTCCTATTAGTCGTCTTCTACAAACTCCAACCATCGATTTTGGTATCGCTCATCATCATGTTTCATCATTGCTCAAGACATTCGACACACGTGAAGCTAATGCAGTTGATTATTTTAAAAATATAGTTTTTTGAACAAGCTAAAGAAATTGCCAAAGAACTATTCGTACAACCAACAGCACCACGAACATATCAACGACGACATGGTCAACATATTCTTGATCCAGAAGAATTTTATCGTGATCAAGTATTTCTTCCTTTTCTGCGTGAATTAAAAACTAATGTCGACTAAAGACTTTCCATCTTTGGTCAAACACGTATACAATTACTTACTCAATTACGACCGGAACATATTACTTCTACAAACTGTTCAATGACTGAACTGTATAAGAAATTAAAGGACAACTTCTTCGATCGTTTACCGGAGCCACTACAACTTTTCGGTGAATTAAAAAAATGGAAAAACGAATGTATTGGTCTTGTGAACAAACCAAATTATGTTAACTTATGGATGAATGATTTACTTATTAAATGTGACCGTATTCTTTATCCTAATATACATTATTTACTCGTTTTTCTTGCTACCCCTCCCGTTACTACTAGTTCGGCTGAACGCGCCTTTAGTTCAATCAAGCGCATTAAAACTTACTGCAGATCAACAATGGTTGAACAGCGGTTAAATGGACTTGCAGCTGCATTTATTCACAAAAATGTAGAAATCGATGCTAATAAAATTCTTGATTTATTTGCAAAAAAAGCATCCACGGCGTTTTGATTTGGGATTATGAACCTTTGTTTTTGTATCTATTATTTTTGCTTATGTTTACACTATCTATACCTTTTCTTGTTCTACTGATACTTAATTATGACTTACACATAAAAATATTCAAATATATGAATTTGAAGAACATGTTCCTGAAATACGTATAATAAAGGGAGCCAATTTATCTTTTAATACAGGATAACTAGTTTCTTTCCAACAATAGAGGCTTCTGTAATGAGAATAAGCTTTTAAAAAATTATTGTCCCATAGATTTTATGATTTCCTATTGCTGCCACCTACTCAAAATAATTTAGCTGATAAATTGCCAACTACTTAAAAAATCCTGGCTACGCCATTGGACACAAGATTTTCATCATTAAACATTATTAATTTCACGAACTATATCATAGTTTACTCTTTAACTTGTAAACTTTCAGAGAAGCTAGAGAAAATTATTGAACTATATTTTCTATTTGATTAGGTCTACTCAATCGTTTGGGAATCAACGTCAGATTCCAAAACGGGTTACATGAATTCCGGTCTGCTGAAAAATTTCTCTTACTAGCTTCTCTAAAACCCAAAAGTTTGACGAAAAATTGATACACTCCGTAATGCTTAGAGGCATGCATTTTCAATAAAACGTACTGCTGAGAAAGACGGTGCAATCCTCAGCAAGACGACATAGTGCTGAGCAGTCTGTGTTGATCCTGTTAGAAGCAGTGTGATCTTTTGAGATAATTATTATTGTATGCAATAGATGCCAAAGCAAAAAGCGATGCTCAATACGACTGCCCAGTGATACTCCTCTGATGAAGTTGGCTGTGAATCTTCTATTTAGCCACACTCAATTCTCATATGAATAAATGGAAGTTGATTTAGACAAATATTCAAATAAAGAAGAACGTACAGGAATGCGATTAGTTCTCTGTCTGAAACTGCTTTACCTCGGGTCACCGATGGAAATATGGGAAAATCTTTGACGACTCATGTCGGTACTATACTGAGCAGATTAAACCAAATTCGATGATCTACAATCTGTGCTGATATAGGTTTCATTACTGTAGCCACTTGACAGGTTAGAAGATGATATGCATTATACAGTGGAAGGTAATTAGAGTCATTCATCTTTTATACAAATTGACGAGGGCTGGACCATATCCCCCTATCAAAGAGAAACTGTTCCCCTTTGAGCAGAAATGCTTCACTCACATAAAGTCAGAGAGAAAGGCTTTTTTACAAACACACCACCTTGTATGTATATATATATATTTATATATATATATATTTTTATTCTTTCTTTCCGTTTCTCTTTGATATGTATGACTTTATGTGGGGTGAAGCATTTCTCCATAAAGTGGAACAACTTCCCGCATCAACTGATCCAATGGTCCACCGCTGTGTTTTCTTGTATCTTTAAAAATTATATTGTTTTTAAAATAATAATCATGATAATCAGCAAAATTTTTAAAGTAATACATGACAGTGTTGTTACAGTTTCTCATCCATAGTTCAAGCTATAGACATCAAATTTTGCAGTTATGTAGTAATACCAATGTGCAATAATCTGCCAAAGTTTCAAAGAGTTTTTGCTTTTGTTGAATGCGAGAACGATGAATTTTAAAATCATTTCAAAACTTCTGGGACACCCTTTATATATATATCTTTCTTTCCTTTATTCACTGACTCGGCGTATATCAAACGACACAACGATTTTTTTCCCTTCTTTCTTCATTGTAAACTTTACTTGAAAAGATAGATTCTTATCAGATTCAGTGAGAATAATTATTGTGCACTTGAACATATAATTTTGTAGAGAGCCTAATTCTCTAGAAGTCTGTATCGTTCAAAAAAATGTTGAGTTCGATTTCACTGCCTAAGAATCAAGGTTATCGAAAGACCTGTATGCAATACTTATTTTCATTAACAATTAATATCGTATTTATATAAATGACTTTTAGAAAGCAAAAACATAATTCAATTCCGTTCGACTTTCTTTATCGAATGATGTATTTCGAGTTGCGCTTGCAATTTATCGAATCTGAAAAACTTGAATTCTCTGTATAGCGCATAGAAACTTCAGGTATTTTGAAGTTGTCAACGTTCAATCAATATTCTTATCGATTCTAATATACATATCAACGTGTAGAGAATTAATTTCACTATCGAATGACGTATAACTCAAAATATTTTGGGAGAAAAAATGACAGGTTATCAAAGAATTTTGTTGCATAGGATATCCAGCAGTTTATAGAAAACCTTTTTGAGAGAAATTTTATTGTAGAATAAAGTATGGTATTTGAATAATTAGTTTGTATAGTTTACACTTACTCATTGAATTCGTGATATATCTTATGTGCTCACCTTCAGAATAACGCTGTAATCTATCGACGTTGTTTTATGAGTGCGAATAAAGCACTGTATTACCTATATGTACGTTGCGAAATACGTTTAGCTTTTGCGCATGAATATCTATGCATGGATTGATAGATCATAAATCATTAGTCATACACTACCTTTGTTTGTTAGATATTTTTTTGTTTATTCTATATTCTATTGTTCGAATGGTTTAATCAACGACAATGAATAGTTGGAAGAATGTTATGAAAAATATGCGCTATACCACGCATTTACTTATTTTTTTTGCCCTTAAAGCACAGAACTGACAAAAGATTGTGATTTCACTAGTCGTCATTTCTCACTCAAAGGCATAATCTTGATCAAACCCAACCTCAAATGACATTTTCACACATCATCGAGGCTTTTCGTTTTTCATTCACAACCACTAACACATCCTTCTGTTTGTGATGAGCCTAGCATATAGTTTATACTCACTCTCCAGACATAAACTGTAACGGTCTATTCTACCGTTAAATGGTTCCACAATACATGAGACACGTTTCACAAGAGTAATTCATAAGAGCAATTCCTAAACAGAGTTTAGATAAAAGTCACATTTCCTGCTCCTTCTTCATGTCCAGTTTTTTCTGAACTTGGATCTTGTCAGTGATCGATTGAAAAATATGTTTCAGGAGAAGTGAGGTATTTGTTCAAGTATAATACTTGCATTATATTAAAGAAAAGATCATCAACAAAGTTTTTTATGAGAACTAGAAATGAAATACGTACATGTATTTCCAAAAAACGCCAGATTTTTTGAACAACGAGCTTAAGTAAGACCTATTAGAAGATTTTTAATTCTTTTTTAAATATCTATTTTCATGAACCTATAATAGTAAAAGGATATAAAAAGGAAAAGAACAAGTTAATTATGATAATCAATGGTATTAAAAAATATCAAGATATTCTTATGAACCTCATAGTTACCGATATCATGGTTCTGCAAACTGCTGTATTTTTTACTATTACTCAAGCAACTGGTATATCATCCATCTATAATTTATTAATTTGTATTCAATACAGCATAGTATTGAGGCTAGGCACATGTTCAAAATGTTTGTTAGACGTACTACATTCAACCGAGCAGTCAGATGAAATCGCTGATCTTTATAAACACTAATCTGATCAACTTTCTAATTTTACTTTCAAAATAGAACATAATAGTGAATAAAGTAAATATAAGTAAACAAATTACGAAAATATGATATTCATACTAACTAACAGATATGTGATCGGTTTGTGATTTTTTGTAACGAAACCAAACTGATACAATCTCAGGTAACTAACCATACACTTTTTCATGTGTTATTCAAGTCTTATCGTTTAAAGTAGATTAAATTAGATTTTTGCGCATCACTTTTCGTGTAAAGGCTTATCTTACATTAGTAACAAAATAACAGCGTCAAATTTAGCAAGTAGACCTCTATATCTATATTAAAGCATAGACTTATGTAAGCATTCTAGTGTCTAAAAATTTTAAGCTCGATATGCTCTACTTATTGTGCGAGTTCCCATGAGCAGTTGTGTGAATCTTCCCATAACGATTAAAGATCATTTTGTTTACCTTTCTTCTATATTTAAATAGGACATAGATGTTTTGTTCAGTTGAGTAAATGATAATCAATACTAAATATCCCAAAAAATTGCGTCAGTTTCGGGAAATTTACATTATGCATATATATTACTACGATTAAGTAGTTAGTCAGCAACAAATATCTTCACAGACGTGAACAAGCGATAGCCATATAGATATTGATCGGGCTGCTCAAACAGAGGTTTGTTTTAGTTAATTAATGTTCAAATAGAAGCTGTACCAGAGAAGTGTGAGCTTCCCATTTATAAATACTGGCATCACCAATGCAGATGCCAAAAAATGACTAATGTCACGCAGATGTTGCGCCTTGAATAGAAACTCGAAATCGGAACTAATTATTTAGATATTTGAATACGTGGAAATGAAAACATTATTCACAAACGAGTAGTTGAATTCTTAAAACTGCATGGTATAAAGTCATTTCCTATCTGTATTGAAGTATGAGTATGTCAAAACTTAATTTTAATGGAATATCGATTTGACCTTCCTTAAATTAACTGTTTACTTATATCATACTTTACTTTCATATTTAGATATATTCAAAGTGTCCGCAGTGTTGATAGTCAAAAGAAAACGCGTAGCAAGAAAACGAAAGCTAAACTGGAAACAACAACACAGCAACATTTACTCTTGTATCATTTGTGCTTTAATGATACTTTACCAACGATTATTGCGGATATCATCTGATTTTTTATTTGTAACACAAATTAATATCGGAAAGGAATCAATTAGAAGATTGCATTGATTATATTTTACGTACAAATATATATATATATTTGACAGGTGCCATGAGAATTCAGTTGCGTTTGGAATGAGTGAAATAATTTTTAAAAAGTTCTCCTAGGAAAAATGATTTTATAATAGGAGTAAAGTATCATACAGAATGTGAAATGATTCCTTTGAACACACATTTAAAAAATACGCTCACATTAAAAACAACAATAAAAAATCGTTTTTTTTTAACTTCTTCTATTTTACTAATAAACAATTAACGATTTTTGTGTTATGCATTTCAGTTTTC